ACAGATTACTACAGATTGTTCTGTTTTTGACAGATTCTGTTTTCAATGCATAGTTTGCTTGTTTTCTAGTTTCTACGGCTTATATTGCTCAATATATATTGTGGAAATGATATGATACAGTAGAAATTGTGTGGAAACAATTATGAATCTTTCCTTTGGCAGTACCAAAATGAAATGGTTTTCTCTTTATCATAGTAACCTAGCTCACGAAGTTCCATTAAGTTCTGTGTGATTGAAGTTTTCAAGTTTTGGGTGGGATGTCGATATGAGAAGAATAATGAGTGACAAAACCCTAAGCTTGGGTATTACCAAGGCACCCCAGGTTAATATCCAAGAAAGATCCAAGTAACTAAGCTTGGGGATGCCCCGAAAGGCATCCCCTCTTTCGTCTCCAACATTATCGGTAACCTCACTTGGCGCTATGTTTTCATTCGTCACATGATATGTGTTTTGCTTAGAGCGTCAATTTATTTTGTTAGGATTTGCTTGCTGTTATTTATAATAATGTTTTGCATCTTTTACTTCAATAAAACTGTCAAGGATAGCCTTTACCATGCTTATTTTGCAAGTATACATGTTGCTGTTTCAAAGCAGAAAGCTTATCGCTGTTGCAAAAATTCCCTAGAAAAGTCAGAATGTGCTAAAATGTTGAAACTTTTTGCATAATAAGCTCTGATAAATTTTCTACAGTGTGGTAGAATTTCATAATGTTTGGAGTTGAATAAGCATTGATACTCTTGCATTCTTTACAGACAGTACTGTTTTGGCAGATTGTTGTTATGTTTGCATATGTTTGCTTGTTTAATGATTCTATTTGAGGATAGGAGTATTAAATATGCACAGACATTTAGTATGCAATGTTGAATAATAATTTTAGTGATTTGCTACAGTAGAGAATGATAAGGTTTTTTGCATTGGTTTATACTAACTTATCTCACGAGTTCTTGTTGAGTTTTGCGTGGATGAAGCTTTCGAGATTTAGGAAAACCACGATAAGCGAGGAATTAAGGAGACACAAAATCTCAAGGTTGGGGATGCCCAAGGCATCCCAAATTAATACTCCAAGAAGTCTCAAGCATCTAAGCTTGGGGATGCCCCGGTAGGTATCCCACCTTTCTTCTTCAACAATTATCGGTTAGTATCGGTTGAGCCTAAGTTTTTGCTTCTTCACATGATGTGTGTTATTCTTGGAATGTCATTTTATTTTATTTTTCTTGTTGTTTTAATAAAATACTTAGATCTGAAACTTTTAAATAAAAGAGAGTCCTCACATAGCTATCTATTTACTTAACTACTCGCTTGATCTTCACTTATATCTTTTTGGAGTAGTTTGTCATTTACTCTTGTGCTTCACTTATATCCTATGAGTAAATTGTTGAATAAATTGAATGTCATGAAGTTGAAATCATATCATGCCTAGTGGTAGCTTCACATTGGGTTTAGAAAGTGAAATCTTTTGAGGCTTGACAATCACAATATTGGTCATACAAGCAATTCACGAATAATTAGTATAAGGAAGAGAACTTTCGCATGCAAATACACTATCGTGGAAATCTTTTGTGATTGTGAGACCCCATCAAATATTATATGCCAAAATTGTTGACGTTGGACAAGGAAGACAACGTAATGATTTATGTTTGTTCATATTCACATAGAAGTCATATTGTCATAGATCCTTCAACATGTGGTGCTTGCCCCCCATCTTTTCTAGCCAAAAATTCCGCACTAAGTAGAGATACTACTTGTGCATCCAAAACCCTTAAACCGAAATCTTATCTTCAAGAGTCCACCATACCTACCCAGGGATTGACCAAGATCCCTCAAGTAAGTTGTCATCGATGCAATAAGGCAATAAAAATTGCTTCTAAAAGTGTAAGATCATTTAGTGTAAGAGAAAATTGAGCGTTGTACGAACTTGTGATGGTAAAGCAATAAAAGCAACAGACTGCATAATAAAGGTTCCCATCACAAGGGGCAATATAACGTGATGTTCTTTTGCACTAAGGGATTGAGCATACAAACAAATAAGCGCATGGCAACCTCTGCTTCCCTCTGTGAAGAGCCTATCTTTTACTTTTCAGTATTTACTTTTATGCAAGAGTCAAAGTTTTTTCTCTATTCCTTTTTATTTTTCTCCTTTGGCAAGCATCATGTGGTGAGGAATGATCTAGGCACATATGTCCAGCCGAATATGGGTAACATGAGTTATTATTGTTGATATCACCCTTGAGGTGAATACGTTGGGAGGCAAATCAATAAGCCCCTATATTTCTATGTGTCCGGTTGAAACGTTTTGCTCATGTGTATGCGGTGAGTGTTAGCAATCATAGAAGACTATATGATGGTTGAGTATGTGGAGCTCTTACTTAAAGTCTGTTGAATAAGTTGAATTGCAATTGCTTGGTGGCTAAGAACATATGTTGTTGAGTTTCAAGAGAATTCATTGTTTGAACCTTAACATGTGAATTGGTTGCCACTATAACATGAGAAGTTTTATGAGAAAGAATCGATGTTATGATGCTAGGAAAAGTGATTGAAATTATCATTGATCAAACTTATGCACTTTGCTAGCATTCACACTTCATAAATTATTTCTTTTATCATTTACCTACTCGAGGACGAGTAGGAATTAAGCTTGGGGATGCTGATACGTCTCCAACGTATCTATAATTTATGAAGTATTCATGTTATTTTATTATCATTCTTGGATGTTTTACAATCATTTTATAGCAACTTTATATCAATTTTTGGGACTAACCTATTGACCCAGTGCCTAGTGCCAGTTGTTGTTTTTTGCTTGTTTTTGACATCGCAGGAAATCAATATCAAACGGAGTCCAAACATCGTGAAACTTTTTGGAGTTTTTTATGGGCCAGAAGACTCCCGATGGACCAGAGCACCACCTGGGGGATCCTTCGGGGTTACCCTAGATCAAAAGTTCCGCCGCTGCAAGGCTCTGTAGCCAACGAAAACCAATCTAGACCCCGTTCCGGCACCCTGGCGGAGGGGGGAATCATCTCCTGTGTCCATCTTCATCATCCCGGCGGCCACCACGATGAGGAGGGAGTAGTCCATCCTCGAGGTTGAGGGTTTGTACTAGTAGCTATGTGTTTAATCTGTCTCGTGATCTATATTATGGGCTTTGTTAATATAGATGGATCATATGATGTTTCTCCCCTCTATACTCTTGTTGTGATGAATTGAATCTTTACCCTTTGAAGTTATGTCTTGTCGGATTGAATATTCAGAGATGAGAACACATGATGTATGTCTTACGGTATGAATACTTGAGGTGACAATTGGGGTATCATATTGATTCACTTGATGTATTGTATGGCACTCAACTTGCGGATTCCCGAGGTGACGTTGGGGTAATCTTTGCATAGGGGTTGATGCATGTTTTTATTATCTTTTCTCTGATAGAAACTTTGGGGTCCCCTTGTAGTTCTTTGTGTGGATTGAGTATTATGAATATGAATTTGCTTTGGTGTTATTTTAGTACGAACTCTTGATTAGATCGATCAGAAAGAATAGCTTGCGTTATTTTGGTACGAACTTTAGGAGAGATTGATCGGGAAGAATAGCTTTGAGGTGGTTTCGTACCCTACAAACAAATTTCTATTTTTTGTTCTCCGCTAATAGGAACTCGGGAGTCATTCTTTATTGCACTTTGAGGGATAATCATATGATCCAGCTATGTTAGCATTATTGAGAGGTTGCACTAGTGAAATTATGGACCCTAGGCCTCATTTTCAAGCATTGCAATACCGTTTTTGTGCCCGTTTACTATTCGCTACCTTGTTGTTTCTACTTATTCAGATTATAGAAATATATTTCTACCATCAATATTACACTTTTATCACCATCTCTTCGTCGAACTAGTGCACCTATACAATTTTGCCATTGTATTTGGTGTGTTGGGGACACAAGAGACTTTTTGTTATTTGGTTGCGGGGTTGCTTGAGAGAGATCATCTTCATCCTATACCTCCCATAGATTGATAAACCTTAGGTTATCCACTTGAGGAAAAATTGCTACTGTCCTACAAAACTCTGCGCTTGGAGGCCCAACACGAGTCTATAAGAATAAAGTTGCGCAGTAGACATCATGGTGTTGCGTCCGCCGATGTCCACAACAGAGACGGACACGAGGTGCCCGCACTGCAAGAACACGAATGCACTCCAACTCAGCACCGAGCAGTCTAAGTGTCACGCGACAGAGAGGGTGGCTGTCGATGCGTAAGTGGCTCGGCTCACGAAGGAGCAGGCGAGCGCTGCCCATCGTCTCACTGACAAACATCTCGTCCTCGTTCAGCGGGGCACGATGAGCACCGACAATGACGCCCCTTCGGCCGCCGACACCTACGCGAAGGACTACTATCACCACTCTCGTGGCCGCATGGAGAAGGGACCGGCGAGGAAACGGTGATGCCCAGTGCCCCTCCGTTTAGCTATGTTTATCTATGTATCTAGATTTGTATGATGAACTTTTGGGCCGGAATGTACAAAACTGTATGCCGAATAAGTATGATCCATGCTATGTTTGTGTTGTCTGAATGTTGATATGTTGATCTACATATTTTGCATCAACTTGCATGGCTAGTATGGATTTGGGGGCCAAATGTAAGGGCCTAAGGGGGGTGTCTGCAGACACGGAGACATGAGGGGTGACCGGTCACCGTTTGCAGATGCGCCTCTGAACACAGGCATTTAGGTTTACGGATTTGTGAAGTCCATTTGTAGATGTCCTTAACAATATTTTCTACCGCTGGAGGTCAAATTTCAGCGTTTCTGTGGCCTGTACGTGCCACGCAAGCCCGTGAAAGGCATCCAGCGTGTAAGGGGACAAGATCCAGTGAGAAGAGCATAGGAACACACATTTGATCACATTGCCAAAAAAAGGGAACGAACTATAGCCATGGCGTCCACACACGATGCAGCACGCCGATGGCAACGACACTGTACGACGCATGTTAGAACGACGACGACGATGATGACGCGTCAGAGGGCCTGGTCGTTGGCGGGGAAGAAGAGCTTCCAGTAGAGCAGCTCGTTCCATGCGTCGGGCACGCCGGGGAGGCACCAGTGGGTGCAGTCGGCGTAGCTCTTGGGGTCGGCGAGCTGCTCCTTGGTGGGCGGCGCCCACTGCTCCCGGTACACCTGCGTGTGCGCGTCCCGGCGGTACTCGGACATCTGCGTGACGTTTACCACGCCGACGGGCACCCTCGCGGACGCGGCCAGCACCTCGCCGGTGACCCGCAGCATCGCCCTGCTGGTGCTCCCCCAGTAGGAGGCGTCGGCGATGGGCTTGGTCTGGCCGTGGCAGTTGCTGCCCTCCGCCTCGTCGCCCCAGAGCTGGCCGGTGGCGTGCGTGGGCGACGCCGTGACGAAGAAGACCCGGGACCTCTTGGGGTCCACGTTGCCGTCCAGCCACCGCACCACCTGGTGCAGCACCAGCCTGTAGGCCTCCTCCGCGCCCATCTCCACGATGTCCTTGCTCATGTCGTTGTCGGCGCCCCTCCTGCAACCAACCAGCCATGCATACAGAAGAAGATCAGAGCAGAGCTTCGTTGAGATCATCAAAGTGATCTGGATCTTGTTAATTTGATCTGGAGAGAGATGTTTGTTGGGTTGCTTACAGGATCTGGATCTTGTCGCCGGTCATCCACCAGAGGTAGGAGTTGAAGACGAGGACGTCGGCGCCCTTCCAGAATCTCGAGTGGCGGTCCATGGGCGCGCCGCGGATGACGCGGTCGTTGAGCTGGTGCTCGACGCCGTCGTCGGCGTTGGACTCGGCGAGGAGCGGCGCCCAGTAGAACTCGATGGTGGCGTCGTAGGCCTTGGCCCTGAAGATGCTGAGCGCGTCGACGGTCTCGAAGGAGGTGGAGCCCTCCGGCATGGCGCGGTGGAGCAGGCAGAGCAGCGACACGTACTGCGCCCGGTTCAGCGAGTCGCCCACGAACAGCATCCGCTTCCCGCGCAGCATCTCCAGCATCACCGTCGCGTTGAAGCTGCAGCATTCAACAATTTTAATTACTTACAACATTACTCTTGCCTTGAAAAAAAATGTGAATATGAACTAAGATGGGCCATGAACAAAGCAACAACCACGGTTGCTCTGAATCTCTGAACTAACACGAAGTGATTTTCATGTGGATATTTTACGGAAAATGTTTTTCTATTTATAGTACAAGAAATGTCCATTCAAAAGTCTAATTGTTAAATTCAGTACTAAATTAGATTGACAGCGTAGCCTTTTTTGGTCAGTGCTCTGTTCTCACATGCTACCTGCCGAGTGTAACAACTGCAGCTGAGTATAGGTAGGTGACCTCTACGTCCCGTCCCACCCAACCCTGCCGCTTGAGCCAAAACATTTCGGACAGCGAATCACCACTCGGCATTTCCTTCCTCAAAAGAGCTGTGCAATGAGCCAATGAGACCTCGCTCGGGGCCATGACATGCACAAGATTTCTGGATCACGACGAAATAGGTGGTGCACTTGTGGGCACGGCACGTACACGGCCCATCCCTCCCTACCTCTGCCAAATCCACCAACGTTGATGGACCTCGTTTTGTTTGTCTGCACGGCGTGCATGTTTGTCATCTGGACAGAAGCCATGCACAACCACCAAGGCGTGCCCTGGCTTGCCACAGTTTTGGGGTAGAGCCAGAGCAAAAGTGTGGAATCCACAGCAATTTGGCAGCAAATTTTGTTAATTTGCTCTGTTAAAATTGCGGCTAGAACGCAGGCACGTCCCCGTGCACCGAGCCGACAATCTGGAGTGGTAGCTCCTGCGTCACGTGACCACCTATAGATACAAGGATCATGATCCCTTGACGACAATCACCCAGCAGCAGTACCTCCTCGCCGTTCATCACTACGTACAGTACTACAACGGCTTTGAATTTTTGAATTCTACAGCTGAGTAACTTCTGTTGGTACCACGAGAACAGAGAGAGGATGGTGCCTCACCTACCCTGCGCTGTAGCGCTGTCCTTCCATGGCGGAAAGGCCCTACCGTGCCTCGGCATTATTGGCTTATCTAGAGCTAGAGCTCACGAAATTAGGTCGAGCTGCTCCCGCGTCAATATATCAAGTAATTTTTGGATTTCTACGTACGCGTCTGCTCCTCCGTATCTTTATGCGCGGTTCCTTGCGTGCGTGACGGCCGTTCACTTTAGATGCCACCGTACCCCACACGCATCGATCTACCGTGCGCGAGCTCATCGTGAGCGAGTGGCGGTGAGATAGTAAGGCGAGAGCACGCCGGCGGGAGAGCGCACCTGGGGAGCGAGCAGCCGCGGGGCTGCCACCGCCAGTGCTGGTACGACTTGTCGGGGCGGCCGTGCGCCTGGCACGTCAGCTCCGCCGGGATGTAGGGGCACGCCTCCTCATCGTACGCCGGCGCCGCCGCCTCGTCGTACACCCACTCGCCCTGCCCGACGTCGCACCCCGCCGGCGCCGCGCCCACCGCGAACGGCAGCAGCTCCGACGGCCTCGCCCCGCCCTCACCCTCCTCCTGCATTACATTACCAAGACAGCAAACGTTAGCCACGCACGCGCATTGTCACTCTCCGGAGCTCCAGGTTGCCGGCGAGCGTACCTGGCCGGCGGCGCGGAGGAACGGCGCGGCGACGGCCACGAGGGCCAGCACAGCGAGGAGCTTCGCCTTCACCATGGCGTTCGTCCGTTCGGCGGTGCTCTGGTGAGTGTGTCGGTCGGCTCTGGTAGCTCACGAGGGGCGCGCGCGCATTGGGTGGGTGAGTGGGATCTGGCCGCTCTAGCTTGGCTCCCACTCTGAGTAGCCACCACCGGGACACTGACGGGATCGGGCTCGCGCTCCAGCAGATATAACGCGGGCGCGGGGTCCGGCTCCAACAACCGCACGCACGTACTACTACCACTCCTACCACACCAGTGGCGGTAGTAGTAGGCGCGACGACATTGGGGTGCTGGCTAGAGCTAGCTTGTGTCGCAGCTTTTGAATTTCCTAAAACTAAAGCGAGATCTCACTCCCTTTTCGACCGACGGGGTGTGGCTCGACGCTCCGATCGGCATTGCTGTAGAGCGAGGTCGCGCCGGTACGGTACGGTGGCGGGTAGGCGATGGGTGTGCGTGCGCTTCTTTGCAAGGCACGACTTGCCCAGACTGCCACGGTAGGTGGGTCGCTCACAGGTCGGACGCTGCTCTGACGCTATCTGGTTGGAATTCTGTCGAAGTGCAAAATTCAGTTACCGTCGAGCCTTTATTATTGTTGTGGGTACGTTCTTAATTGCGTCGTGCCGTAGCGAACGAACGTGCGCTTTGTAGCAGCAGCTAGCGCGACGGTCCTCCGCCTTATGCTGCCGCCGACGTTTGCTTTTCTCCGGCGGGGGAAACTGGTGAGAACTCCCTGTCGCGAAAGGAAAAAAAAGGGAAGTTCGTGGTGGAAAGGATTGACACGATTGAGGAGTACTCCTATTACAACGAGCGTTGCTTATGCGTAAAGAAGCTCATTTTAATTTAGGTGGGATTTGTTCGCTCGTTTCTACTCCACGCACACGGTTCATGCTATACCTCCGCAATTTTTAAAAAAGAGGCCCATGCTAACTGCTGTATGTAGGAGTATGATTTCTTAGGACTATCTGGTGCACCTAACTGAATTCCATCTGGCGGCAATCATCATTAGCACCACAAAAGCGACGTACCAAACAAAAAATGGTGGCCATATCATACGGTTGAGGAGTTCTTTTCCTACCAGAATTGTGTAAGACGGTCTAATGAAAGCAATGCCATCTAACAATAAAGCGGAATTAATTAAATCTCTCGCCGGCAAAGTCGTGACATATTTCCCTGTGTGGATTGTAAGCAAAGGTGCAGATAAAAGTGGGAGTAGGAAAGGTACGGAGCAGGTGCGGGTGGACTGGGGTGTTTGCCATATGGACGAGGCCGACGCCGCAAGCAAGGATCGGGTCCCGCATGAGACCGGTTGGAGAAACGTTCCCATGGTTTCGGCGCTTTATTGTTTTTCCCTGTTCATTTTTAATGTCTTTGGTGTTTTTGGTGCTTTGGTTTGGTGCACCACGTTATATACATAAATGATACTACACGGAGTGGTGTTCATATGTTGGAGAGATAAGATTGACGGAAAGATCGCTGGTCAATGTGATCCTCATACCTCAAGCCATATGCCATATATCTTATGCCGCTCAATATACCCGGTTGGACCAGCAAAGATTCGCCGTTTTTTTTTTTTTGCAGGGCGCGACAAGGTCACAAGAGAGAACTGCAAAGTAGACTAGGAGATAACATGTGAGTGGGCAGAGTTGGGTGGGTTGTGCAATTCTTCATCTAGATAAATTTGCCACTGCGATGGGAAGTCCTTGATTACATTGGGTTGATGCTTCAGTATCATGGGCCGAACTTGGTGATCAGTGCCATTAATGTGATAATGAGTGATCAGCTACAGTGGTTATGGTGGATGATGGTGGAGAAGGAAAATTTCAGGAGTTCCCTTGCATCGTCGCGATTAGATCTAAGAGGTTTAGCCCCTCAAAAATATTTGAGATTTGAGCAAAGAGCAAAGCACGTCTAGAAAAAAACTATGGGAAATGTCAAGGGAGTTTCTAAGGTTAACATGCAACAAGGGCTCACTTTCTGTGCAACAATTTTCCACCGTCGTGGGAACGATCTTGACAGTAAGAAGTAGGGTACGAACGAGGGCGGGATCTAGCTATGACGCAAGTGTGACACAAAGATTTTATGAGTTCGGACCCCTCGCGGTGGAGGTAACAACCCTACGTCTCGAGCTCTGGAGATGTGTTTCTCTTGTGCCTGAGTATTACAAAGAATTGAGAACCCTTGTCCCTGAGCTACGGGTGGCTTAATCCCCTTGTCTAGCTACATTACAAAGGGATTTAAGTGGTTGCGTTGATGGTGTGCACTATAGGCAGTAACTGACGGAGCAAACGCTGGTAACGCACTTGTCGCACGCCCTTTGATGTTCTGGATTCCCTGTCCGGCTGTTCACCTCCTACTGACGAGTGTTCTGTAGGTCCGAGTGGTTTGGAGGCGTCGGAGTGGATGAATGTCGTCCGAGTGACAGGAATCTTAACCTTCGGCCGAATGGATCGGAGTCCCTGAGGCTTTCATATCTAGTGTTGTGGGCCCTCCATTATGGTCAAGATATGCCTATATTGCCCTACCCGTAATGAATATCCCCAACAACCACCCTATGGAAAAGCTTAACCACATTCATCTTATTTTGAAAAAGCAAGACATAGTTAAATGAGAATTTCATGGATGGTGCTTACACGACCTCGACCTACATGTCTCGGTTTGAGAGAGCCACAACTACCATGATGAACCTAATGTTTCGAAACTATGAGGGCCATCCAAATGTACATTCTTCACCTATTGACCATAGAATAAATATGAATTGAGTGGCGGACCATCTCTTCAGATATGGTTGGAAAAAATAACACGATTTGCCCTCTTTGCAAGCAAGATCCACAAAAGGCTGACTGTCATTATACGAAAGAAAGCGACCGGCTAAGTTGGTTAGCCAAAAAATTGAATAACATTATACGAAAGAAGGCAACCGGTTAAGTTGGTTAACCAAATATATTTGTAGAAAACAATTCTTTTGTAAGCATAATTGAATATCCACCCCTATTTTGTTTCCTTATCGAAAGAAGCCAACATGCTAAGATTTCCTTTGGGTTTATAATCGAATTTGTACTTCAAAATTTCCTTAGCCATCACTAAGATTATTACGAATATTAGAGATGTATGCCATAATAATTATACCATCCAAAGCTTGTTTCAAATACACCCTTTGTACATAAATACACCCTTTGTACATAAATATAAGACATTTTAGAGACTGTAAAACGTCTTATATTTATGTATGGATGGAGTAGATGTTATATTTTCTATGGCATACGTATTGTATACTATTGGTCTAAGTAATGGTCAAAATAATCTCGAAATACATATCACAACATATAAAATTGGACAAAAGAGAGCATGTGCTTAGTTTTTTATAACATAAAGACTTTATTGAACTCAACAACACTTTACAGAAAGAAGCACGAAATGATTCACAGAAAGATAAGAGAGGATATCTCTGCCTGAAAAAACCCTACATCCTGACATAGGTATCTAATAGCTAGAGATGTAGAGTTAATTCTTGTAGCTAATCTAGATAAATGATGCGCTTTAACATTCAAGCTTCTCGAGATGTTGTTGACTCTATTTGCTTGAGAAGAGGAAGCATGTATTGTCGCCAACTGCGACCTAATCTCCCAAGGACCTAGAGTAGATAAGATGTTGGTGGAAGTCGCATGAGCCAAGACCTGACATTCTGTGAAGTACTGGGGTTCTTGTATCTGGATAACATCAGCCAATTTTGTAGAAAGAAGAAGAGCTAAAGCTTCAGCCCGAAAGAGTAGATGCAACAGGTGGGTGTCGGGGAACGTAGTAATTTTTTAAAAAAAATTCTACGCACACGCAAGATCATGGTGATGCATAGCAACGAGAAGGGGAGTGTATCTTCGTACCCTTGAAGATCGCTAAGCGGAAGCGTTTATCAACGCGGTTGATGTAGTCGTACGTCTTCACGATCCGACCGGTCCAAGTACCGAACACACGACACCTCCGAGTTCTGCACACGTTCAACTCGATGACATCCTCGCCTTCTCGATCCAGCAAGACGGGCGAAGTAGTAGATGAGTTCCGGCAGCACGACGGCGTGGTGACGGTGTTGGTGAAGAACAATCTCCGCAGGGCTTCACCTAAGCACTACGGAAACTATGACGGAGGATAAACTAGAGGGGACGGGGTTGCCGGCACATGGCTTGGTGTTTATTGATGTGTCTTTGGTGCTAGCCCTGCCCCTCTATTTATATGTTTAGCCTTGGGATCGAAACTTGGAGTAAAAGCCTCCACAAAGTCGGTTTCACCCGAAAGGCAAGAGTCCTTCTTGGACTCCAGGGCCAGACGCCAGGGTTCCCGGCGTCTGGACCCAGACGCCAGGGACCCTGTCGTCTGGACCCTGGACTACGCAAAACTTCCTTTTGCGCTTTCCAAAAACCTTGTGGGCTTTCCCCTTTGGCCCAAATAACGTGTTCTCATACCCAAACATTCCGGGAAATATCCGGAACCCCTTCCGGTGAATTCCGGAACCCTTCTGGAGACCAAACAACATTATCCCATATATTAAACTTCATCTCCGGACCATTCCGGAGTTGCTCGTAATGTTCGTGATCTCATTCGGGACTCCGAACAACATTCGATTACCAACATTTATAACTCATATAATACTATATCGTCAACGAACGTTAAGCGTGTGGACCCTACGGGTTCGAGAACTATGTAGACATGACCGAGACATCTCTCTGGTCAATAATCAATAGCGGAACCTGGATGCCCATATTAGCTCCTACATATTCTACGAAGATCTTTATTGGTCAAACCGCATAACAACATACGTTGTTCCCTTTGTCATCGGTATGTTACTTGCTCGACATTCGATCGCCAGTATCTCAATATCTAGTTCAATCTCGTTACCGGCAAGTCTTTTTACTCGTTACGTAATGCATCACTCCGTAACTAACTCATTTAGCTACATTGCTTGCAAGGCTTATAGTGATGTGCATTACCCAGAGAGCCCAGAGATATCTCTCCGACAATCGGAGT